TCCCTTAACAAGAACCCAGTTAAGGCCTCCGCACTAGGCGAAGCTTCTCGTTGCCGCCTCCTTACTCGCCACTTCCCTGGCGCCAGCGGCGGCCATGGCCGGCATCTGGGGTTTAGGGTTTAGGGTTTAGGGGTTTAGGGGTTTAGGGGTTTAGGGTTTAGGGTTTAGGGGTTTGGGGGTTTAGGGGTTTAGGTTTTAGGGTTTAGGGGTTTAGGGTTTAAGAATCAGCCTAAACCCCGAATGCCTCACCCGAAAAGTCGCCCCACAACCTCTTCGGGTTTAGGGTTTAGGGCTTAGGGGGTTTAGGGTTTAGAGTTTAGGTTCTTCTCTGTACAGGCCCCCTGTAAGAGTTTCTGTGAATCTATGTTTCTGTATGTACTATCTGTCTGTCTATCTATCTATCTAGCTAGCTAGCGGTCGATCTCTCTCTCTCTCTCTCGCTCTCCCTCTCCCTCTTTCCCTATCTATCTATCTATCTATCTACCTATCTATCTATCTATCTATCTATCATCTGTCTATCTATCTATCTATCTATCTATCTATCCATCTATCTATCTATCTGTCTGTCTATCTATCTATTTATCTAACTAACTATCTATCTATATATATATATATATGTAAGTATAGTCTACTAGTGAAACGAGATATATGCATGTATATATATATATATACACACACACACTTCGACTTGTATAATTATTCAACTTATATATAATATGGATATGTAGAAACATATGATTAGTTATACATATATAGATAGATAGATAGATAGATAGATAGATAGATAGACAGATAGATAGACAGATAGACAGATAGACAGATAGATAGATAGATAGATAGATAGATAGTAGAGAGAGAGAGAGAGAGAGAGAGAGAGCGGAGGCCGAGCAGACTGTCAAGACAGCCTAGATAGGAGGCTTCACCGGAGAGTGGGCAGTGCTGCGTGAGGTTCTGTTCGGGCTCAGATGGGGGCAGGTGAGGTGGGGATGGAAAATCAGTGTAGTTGTCGGCCTTGACCCTCGGAAAACGAGAGAGAGAGAGAGAGAGAGAGACCTTGTACGCATGCATGGTTCTCATTTTTCTGTTTCGCAGTCTGCCTCCGCCTGCATGCATGCAAAACATTGTAGCGCGCGATGTAGGGGGGCTTCCCTCCTGCATCATAGCCCTGGCGAAAGAAAGAGAGAGCGAGAGCGTGAGCGAGAGCAGGAGCGAGAGAGAGAGTGGGAGAATGGTTCCAGCATGCTACGCAAGCGCAAATGCAAGCACTCGTGGGAACACCCTTCCAGCAGCTGGGTGCAGGAGGAGGCAGTCAGCTGCAGAGTCCTGAACATCTTTTCACTTTGACACCACTTGTCATCACTCGTAAGCACTCAACGCTTTGTGCCATGGGGTGGAGCTGGCACTGTAAGGTCCAACGGCTTTGCCAATGGAGCCGAAGGTGGAAACCGCTGTGAAGACATCGTGGCATGTGGTTCAGGTGGAGGTGTTGGCACATTCATTGTGCTAGAATCCTGCGGTGGAGACCAGCAGTGTGTGCCGAGCACATGCAAGTATGGTCTGCCTGGTGGTGGCATGACTACTACTGCGGAGTCAGAAACCATCACAAACCCGAAACCTGAAACCCGTCCTTTTCGCCCTGCGAGTCCGCGTTCACGAACCGAACAGCCTCGCCGGCAGAGTCCGAGTTGCGAAAGTCCAAACCCTAAGAGGGATGTGTTCTTGAGCCTTGCCAGGTTATGGAGCTCATCCCCACGATTCACAGCACGGGCCCGAGCTAGCAAGCCCTATTCGGTTCCTCCGGTCTCTTGTATTAGGCCCCAACCTCCTGCCTGCTTAAATCCCTGCGCAGTTATCGATTGTCATCGTGTCGAGCTCCTTACTGGCTTTTGTGACCTGGCCAAGAGCACTTCGAATGCAAGGGAGTACTTTGAGTTCTACTCAAGCCAGCGTCAACGACATGTAATGCAACAAAAGTGGACTTCCAAAACCAGTTTCGTTTACTCTGCAAGACGTCGGCAGAGAGCGGGTTGAGAGCATGCGAATTGAGTTGTACTTGTAATGAGCGCAAAAGCCCCGATCAAGCAGTAGTCATCATCAGGCGGTGGTTGTGGTGGCTGCTGTGCTTTTGCGATATTTGCAATATGTTGCAGTGTTGGTTTCGTACTCTTGTCCTCGTTCCTTTATTTGTTGTTGGCAAAATCATTGTGGCTCTTCCGGCGGCCTGAAAACTGACCATGATGGTGCCTCGCGAACCCCCAATCCTGTAGGCGCGATCCGGAGCCTTCGCCGAGTGCTGTCCTCAGCTTGAGTCGCCGTGGCGGTGCTGGGGGAAGCCGGGGAGCGATCCAGTGGTGAACCAGCAAAATTTGCAAAGCTTTAGCCTCTCCACCTCAGATGCCGAAGAACAGGGCGGTCGTTGAAGCGTGGGACTTGCGCATGTCTCAAGGGAGTCGTCTCAGTGCTGCGAGTCGGCATTATCGGCAAGTGTATATAGTCCGAAGTCTTCGGATCAGGTGTAGTGCAACCACCCACGCTTCTTTCCTTTCGGCTTTCGGTTCGCTTTCCGAGTTGGCCGAGGTTGGCACTGCTCTGCGGATCCTTACTGACGTCTGTGTGGCTGCCCCATTGCCTGCAGATTTCCGTGTACGAACAGACTGACCTGTATCCGTGCGTCTACAGTAGTCACACAGGCATGCATACATGCCTGCATCCATCCGTCCGTATATACACACATGCAAACATACACAGTCCTGTACGATGCATGATCTGTAGATGTCTATCTATTTGGAGGGGGTGGTCCTGTTGGGAAAGCCATCGCATACAGCAGCAGTGGTGATTTTCAGAGTTGGAAGATTGGACTAGACTTCTTTGGGCTGGCATCGTCTTAAAGACCCCCTGCCGCAGCGCATCGTTCAAAGAGAAACAGAAACATCTGCTGCTGCCGGTGTCACGGGCTAGAAGTTCGAATGGCAGTTCTGTTGATGATGCCCCTGCCAGGAGGGCATCTGATGATGGATGCGACGACGATGAGCGTGAATGCTACTTGTAGCAGAGGTCCTTTCTCTTTCGGAAAGATCGATACTGAAGACCGCCGCATACAGCCGTCTGTATGGCCGCTACCCAGGCCTGAGGAGGCTGCACTGACTTGGCTCCGGCCTTAAAGAGCTGAGGCTGAATCTGCTTGAGGCTTGGGTGGGTTCAGGGCTTATAGGGTTTAGGATTTATAATGTCTAGGGTCTGGTAGGGCCTATAGGGTTTAGGATTTTATGGGTAAACCACTGTTTGGTCTGCAGGGTGAGTACGCAACATTTTCGAAGCTGATACCCTTGCCACCAAAAAGTGAGGCACCCTCGTTGCTCTAGCCGGCGGCATTGATGTGCTCGCCATGTTTCAGCTTGAACGAGACTCGATCCCTAGGAGACATGAGCTGTCTGGCGCATATCGTCAAACAGTCAAAATCGGCCTACTTAACCAAAGAAAAACTGGAGAAGCTGGACACGCGGACATTGGGACAAGTTCAGTTGACGATAGTTGGGGCCCAGACACAAAAATATGTGGCTTTCCTGAGCTCATTCAAATAATCGTGAAGCAAGAAGCAATGTCGCTATTGTGAGAATGAGCCATGTGTCCTAGATGTGATTCCTTCACTTCAATCTCTTGAGGTGGCCAAGACGGCAGCTTTCTGATATGTGGGAAGCACTGGCCTCGGATTTTCGTAGAATCACCTGCACAGCCGTGGCCTCGACATCACATGTACCAGTTGAAGATCCGATGGAATCCCGTCTATGGTTGGTTCAGTGTCCGAAATCGTAAGCGCAAACACGGTTGGCGCAGATTCGACATTGACGACAATGGTGAGGTGACAATGAACGTGTATAGACACTATCTATTTATCTATCTTTCTTTCTGTATTTCTATCTTACTGTACATGACATACATAGAGGTACATACACACACACACATACACACATATATATATGTATATATATATAGATAGATAGTGTATACATTGGTATCATGCCAGGCTGTCTGCTCGGGCCTACTGGATTGCTCGGCAGTGGAGGCTACCGCATGCGCCCAGTTTGCTGCAGTTTCAACCAGGTCCGGGATGAGCTCTTACAAAGATGGTCTGTTGAGGGCTGTGTTCAGAATGCATATAGCGGAATATGGCGGACCCCGTAATTTCAGAGCCTCTCCCGCAAAGAACGGTGCCAAGAGATCGACCAATCACTCCGGAGGGATTCGGGACATGCGAAAGTGCAGAGGGGCCTCTACATTCCACAGCATCTCTACACCGGTTCAGAGAGTCCCGAGACACGTGTCAGGAGATGAGGGATTGTGAAAACAGTGCCGAGATGCGGTGCAGCTCAAACTTTATTCAGGCTGTGTATACGCACACGTATATATATATATATATATATAGCTGTGCTTTTTATAATCTGCGACAAGTTGCAGTATGCTGCATGTTTGAGAATGTTATCGGCGCCCTGTTCTTCTGGCCTGCAGCTGTTGCCCTCACCTGCCCCCTTCTGTAACAATCCAAACTCAGCCATTCAATGGAACGAAACTGCAGGCTGGCAAGTGAGATGTGCTTGTCCAGAGAATCCAAGTCCAGCACTGCCTTTACATGCATTTTTCGTTTGTAGTGTCCGGGGTTCAGGATATTGACAATCGAAGCCTTTCTGTCGAGCGTGCCGGCATGACTGCGCACAACTGCGACAACATGCTGGCCAAGCTAGCCGTCGCGGGGCCATTTGTGGACAGCGACTGCTCCTTTGATCTATATAGATGGTCATGCTCCGACCCTATATGAAGCAACCTGTATAATCCCTAGAAGCCCAACCGGTGACCCACTCGAACGCAAGATTCCGAACTCAAAGTCCTGAAGCCCTCTCCCTCCCAACAAAACAAAAGACGGTGCGGAGGCTTTCTCGGTGGTGTTGCATTGAAGCTTCTCATCTCGGTCTGGGCTTCTTCATGTCTTCCGCGTCACTTAACAGAGTCCAAGAATCTGAGCAACAAGGGGCCTGGCAAAAGACTCACAAAAACTGAACGAGCTTCGTCTTAGAGTCTTTGGGAATCCAGGACTTGGGGCTTACTGACTTCGCGGTATGGGGCATGGCTGAAGCCCTACATGCAGCCCCAAACCCTGCAAACTAGTAGGATATGACCCCTCATCTTATGGAGTCTCATCCCCAAAATAGTGGGTTTTGCATCCACAGGTCGCGCTGCAAGCCCCAAGCTGAGGTAAGGACCCTCAGAGCCACAGCGCCTCGACCTCTTCCTCTCTTGCGGGAGACCTGGGCCCCTTGGCAGCTTCGGGCCTTCTCGAAAATCTTGAGGGGGTTTAGGGTTTTAGGGCTTACGGTGTCTGAGCCTACAGAAGTTCAGCTCTCATGACTACATTCAGGCGATTGCGCAAAGTCTTGATGCAAAAGGGCTTACGGTGTCCATGGCAATTCAGGGTTTTCATGGGGTCCTTCTGCAGTACAGAGTCTAGAAAATCTGCCATTATTAGTGTTCAGGGTCTATCCTTGTTCGGACTCCCAGTGGCCCAGTAGTCGAAAGCCATGAACTCTTCCAATACTGTAGCCCTAATGTAGGGGCCTAAATAATATGACCTAGACCATTTAGGGGGTTCCTCATTATAATTAAAGTACAATGGGCCCCTCCAAGTGTTAAGGCCCCTACATTATATCCTTATAGAATGCTTATAGCAACCCTTTCAAGGAGCCCTATTCTAGTCATAAAGGCCCCTACATGATGTCCTTATAGCATGCTTATAGTAACCCTTTCAGGAACCCTCTTCTAGTTATTAAGGCCCCTATCGTAAAATGGGCTCTGGGCCGCTTCCGCAGCTTCTGCTCTCCTAATATAGGGGCCTTCATGATTAGAATAGGGTTTGGGGGCTCATTATACTATAATTATAATAAGGACTCCCCCCCCAAAAAAAAAAAACTTATGCTAATTATATTAAGGTCCCTAAATTATCTCATCAGCATTCCCGTTGCGATAAGAGCCGGCTCATCTGATACACTTGAAAGCGCAACCTACCATTATAGGTACTTATATACTTCGGACCCTGCTAAGCTGAAGTCCTCAAAGAAGATTTCCGGATATCGTGGTTAAGACTTTGTAGGGTTTAGGGAACTACTGCTTGCCCTCGCGAGGTGAGTTAAAACATGCTTTCCGGATTTTTTATCTATTGGTGACTCTCAATTCTGCTAACCGAGCCTATTGGGGCTTCGTTTGGGGATTGGTTCGGAGACAAGTGGTTAGGGTTGTTTTGCTAGAGGGCTTGCCTTTGGTTCGTTTATACAGTGGTGCCTGTAATGACAAATATGGGGGATCAGACAAAGGTCTTGAGACTCAGCGACCCCGGTGTCTGCATCCTGAAGCTTCATGACCTTCATGGGTAGTTCTAAATTTGGGTCCCTTTTTAGGTCCCCAATATAGTACGGCACCCTTATGAAAAGGACTCTAAAAGGGACCCTAATTTAGAGAACCTTCATGTAGGTCCTATAATGTCCCTGCCGTAGCAAGGTCCAGGCACCTAGCTGTCCCAGTCTTCAGGATTTGCGGCATTTGGAGATTGTAGAGCTTGTTTTAGGGTTTAGGGTTTAGGGTTTAGGGCTTTGCGGTTGCAGCGTGCTGGGGTCCTTGTTTGCATCAGGTCCATGTAACTTGGAGTCTCGTAATTTATGAAAGCAAAAGATTGTTCATAATTGAAAAAGTATTAACACGACTACCAATAATGATGGCACAAGTGTGATCATACCACGCATGACACCCGTCATCATCATCATCATCATCATCATCATCTTCATCATCATCATCTTCTTCTTCTTCATCATCATCACCATCATCATCATCATCCTGATCATGCTGCGACGTACTCCGAATTAAGGCTATGATACAAAAGAATAAGAAGAAAACTGAAGAGCCTACTACGAAGCCCGGGTTTCGAGCGAGGCTTCGACTTTGAAGCCCTGGACCTACAGGATGAGACTGCTGTGCCAGAGCTGAGCCGCACGGGCTCACATGGTTTAGGGCCTTCAGGGGGACCCCTAATCCAAATACCCTATATAGCCCTTATATACCCCTTATATAGTATCATAAGGCCCCTGAACCCCAAGGGTCCCTTTAAGGGTCCCTCCTGTAGTCCCTTAAGTTTGGGGTTATGCCGGTATGCCTCGGTGCAGCTTCCGTTCGGGTCTAGGGCTAGGGCTTTTGGGCGCCTAGTTTTTGTAGGTGCATCAGTTTATATACAGCTGTTCGGGGAGTGCGTTTTCGTGTGTTGCGCAAGAGCGTTGATTGAGCACTTTATTGATTGCACAGCAAGTCTCAAAAATCATCGCTGCATGCCCGCACTTGCGATGAGGATTGCCCATGATGACAGATCCAGAGATGGGCCACAATTTCGAGGCCTTCGGTATGCGCCTGACTATGAACACTGGAGGGAGGTTGAAGGCGCTAGGTCGGAACCGTGCAGTTTTGCTCATCACCCTTAATTGAACCCTCAGAAACAGCAAAACATCATGCCGTGAAAATTGCAAGGGTGCAGCGGTTTGGGGTTTGGACCATCGGAGGGAGAAGGTGTGCGACAAGCCCTTCTATCATTATCTTTCACTGAGTCATGCTATGCACATGAGCGCCCAAAGAGGACTCGGTACTGTCATTGTCACTCGCTTCCATGCTGAGCAAAGGACTCCGAGTCATATGAGTCTGTGGTGCCTTGTTGATCGTAGCGACGGTACGGTGAACTCTGGGTTCAGAGCAAGACACCATGTGGGGGTTTCCGAAAATAAGGGACCCTAATATAGTAAGTACCCTAAATAGTGGGATCCCTATTATAAGGACCCCCCCCCCCCCAAATAGGGTACACCTTGTTTTCGGAAACTACCATGTCAGGCTCTGCCCCAGCTCGACCGACTTTCTCCGGGAATCGGAGCGACGAGGGTATTGGGGCGAGGCTGATTCAAGTCGAGGGCCACACAGGTTTGCCAGCAACACCGATCCAGAAAGCAGAACGACTGCAGATACGGCGTCAAGTTTGAAGGGAAAGTCTGGAGTGAAAGCTGCATAGTGTCAGTTTGTTGCCACAGGCTTGGCATGTTGATGCATGCATGTCTACGCATTGGATCACTTTAATGTGTATCACCCCGGATCTGCAAGAATCTGAATCCCGTGGTGTCATGCGCATATATTAATCTCGTCTTAGATACACATGTAGAGACTTAGGCAGCAACGCAGCAGAGATGAATACAGAGAGAGAGGGAATCGATCCGAGAATCTCCGAGAGCCCCAGGAGGCCCACTGAAGAGCACCAAGTCCGTGGGTTTCGAGCTGGCTGTGCCATTGCCAGAAAGCGCTGCGGTTGCATAGGGCTTGTGTTTTTTTTTTTTTTTTTTTNNTTTTTTTTTTGGGGGGGGGGGCGGTTTCTGGACTGCACAAGTTACGGAAGCTGTTGTAGCTTTATCCCGCCCAACTCAAGTTCAGGGTTCAGCCCTTCATGGCCCTAATGTGTGTGTGTGTGTGTGTGTTGTCTAGTGTGGTTTCGGTGAAGTTGACAAGGTTCTTTCATGTTCTTTCGATGTGCTCCGGCTGTGATTCAATCGTTCATCAACTATATCGTGTTATGTTGTTAATTGTGTTGTTGTGCAGCGACTCTGTGCCGTGGAAAGCTCGCTTCCGGTGAGCGACTGGAGGAGAACTGCGTGTTCTGCGGTTGTAAGAAGCCGAGGCGCCTTTTAGCAAATGAGCCCTTCTGTAACAAGTCATACCCCCATGTGCCCAAGTAGAACCTTCCAGCCTAGAGGCCACATTAATCCCCGAACCTTAGGCTCCTAAACCTCTTCAAAAACTGATGAGACTGAGGGCCCGGGGGCTGAGGTGGGCTATTCCGAACTATGTCGCCTAAGGGTTCTGGATTCTACCGTAGTCCCAATTGAGCAAGTTCTACATCCAGGTGCCAAAGACAAAAGTGAATTCCAAGAGCACAGTCCCTCAGTCTCAACTGTGCCAGTCGCTGTGGCTGGCAGCGCCACGTTTGATTGCTTTTTTGTTTCATGGGAGATATTCTGCAGCGGGCTAGGTGGCTGGCAAAACAGATGAACAAAAAGTCTTTGACTACGCTCCTACATCCGAAGTTTCATGCCCCAAAGGCCCAAAAGACCCAGAATCCAAAACATAGCCCTCACCTAAACGTCTAGATCGTAGACTCATATCACCCTGATGCCTAAAAGCACAGGTCCCCTACGCTCCCGATCTGTGCCCAACCACTGGAGGATTCGAGCCTTGGTCGCAGGGTTCAGAGAAAGCCGCATGCAAGGTGTTTCGCTTCTGCACGGAGTGTCCGACGGTTTATATAGGGTATCGTACGGGACGTTGGGGTTCACCTCGCCTTTCGGGCACTTTTCTACGGTTCGGGGTCTGGTTAGGGTGTTGAACTGTTGAACTGTGCCTAACGGATGGGGCTACCTGGTCACCCATGGCGAAATAACATCCCCCTACTATACGTCGCACCGACCCAAGCGTCAGGTGCGCAACTGGAGCCGCCGACACCACTGCGAAGGTGCAGAAGTGCTCATGCCGGAGGCACCACAGGGTTCCCTCGGTTTTGCTTTTGCACAGAACTCGTTGTTGAAGTGTATTGAGTCGAGCGGCTAGCATTTGCCGGTGTCCTCAGTGTGAGCGAGCTGCGCATGTCACTTCCAAAGGTGTAAAGCTTCCTGTTGTGAGCGGAACAGTTATACACTTCTACCTTTATCTTTGGTTTTGTTCAGCTCTTCGCAGCTCAGTGTATTCTCGTCGTTCAGGATTTGCGTGTATCGGCACGGAGTTGTCTGGCTTGTACACTGCGTCCTCCAGGTTGTGTACGAGTGTTTCGGGCAGAGTATGGCCACTGTCGAGCCTGCGTAATGCAATGAATAGCCCAACAGCAGTGCATTATATTTTTGGATTATATGGTATAGTATGGTATATCAATGCTACGGTATAGTGGTTATAGTCTATGTAGCATAGTAGTCTAAGTTGCAAGGTCTTGGCTTCTGCCCGGGCAGCCTCAGCAGCATTGCGACCTCTCCCCACTCGGATGGCTTCACGGAGGACCTGGAGATCTTGCCGACTGAACGAGGCTGGAGAGTTTAGGCGGTGTCGCCTCAGGCACCCTGCGGCCCATTGCGGGTTCTGCGGGACGTTGCAGTAACAGCTCCATCCCTGACGCACTCGCTCAATCACCCACCCGCACACCCACCCACAAGCGCACACGCTCGCTCGCTCGCTCGTGTCTCTCACCGTTGTTAAATGGCACACTACATATAAATATCATGTACAAAAAATCAGCAGTAGATAAATAAATCTATATGTATATATATATATATAAGCATTTAGTTCTGTCTGTATATATTTCACATACCTGTGCATACGTGCATACATGTATATATATATATGCACACATGCACAGATGCATGGATATATTACTTCTATATCGATGTCTGCCTCTGTATTTCTTCGAAGCAATATCTGCATCTGTATCTTGTGTTATTCTGTCTGTTCGCACAAACACGATCACAAAGGTCACCCACGCGCGTGCAGATAGCCATGGGCAGGGAGAACTATGTGGATGTAGGGTTGCATGCCGGTTTGTTTGTGATGTCGGTTGTGGTTTGTGGCTGCTGCTGCTGCTGCTGCTGCTGCTGCTGCCGCCGCCTTTTGTTTGCACATGCATGCATGTGTGGTCCATGGTTCATGCAAGAGAAGGATGGAAGGACATACTACACATGTATGCATGTGTGTATGGCGCGGATCCCGGGTTACGTTATGGTCAGGGTAAACAAGCCAGGCCTCCGCGTGGGAGTCGTCGTGAGCGGATCCCGCGGCGACGTGCAGCCGCACGTTGCACTGGCCTTGGACCTACGGAGTCTGGGTCACCAGGCTCCTCGGACCTAGCCTTCCGACATGAGGGAGGGCCGCCCAAAATAAGGGGGGCCAGGGCACTGACAATGACACCTGTTAGGTTCTTTCAGCCCAAGGTTTGCTAAAGTGAAAGACGACATTGGCACCAGAGCTGTTCACGAACGTGCAGGGTTCGGGGGTCCTGAAGGGCCATGAGCTGCCCTCCTCAAGATGCAACGATCATACGGTTTCTTTGCGGCATTTTGCGGACTTATATCTGGAGACTCAGCACTCAGGTATGCCCCACCCAGATCTAAAATGAGGTTTGCGATTAGAAACTTGCATCAGAACCGAACATTGAACGAGACACGACATGTGTCCTTGGATAGGTTCATCTTGGTTTCCTCCCGAACATGCCCTAAAGACTGCCGGGAGTCATCAACTCAGAACCGTGAAAGAACATTTTACACCCCTATGGCTCAGAAGGTACGGATCTTCACCAACTCCAACCATGCAGCCCTTTGTGCCCGGCATGGTGTGGAAATGGTCTCGGTGTTTGCCGATTCACAGGCCGGGCCCTCCCGATTTCTGAGCGCTCGGAATCTCCAGATGAAGGTCACTACGAATGAACGGTGTGATTCATACCAACTGCCGGAAACCATATGTAAGAGTTTAACTAGTTTAAGTGCGGAGAGGGTGTCTTGTGACTATCCTATGCCTTGGAGTCTAGGAGCCTAGGACTCTTGCATGTATCTTCGTGTGTTGAGAAAGTCTCCTTCCCGGAGGCCTGTATCGAGCAGATTGGCGGCGTGTCGGGGAGCTTCGGCTGCAACTGATGAGACGGGGTCTTCGGACTTGGAGACATTGGTGCTGCATGAAGAACCTGTTGAATGCCGATGGCGCATTCATGCCGGCGGGATCTTGCAGCAAATGCTGGGTTCCGAACCATGCTTGCCTACCCGGAACCCCCGGCCCGATATCAGGGGAACAAGATTAAAACCCTCCACTTCCGCTCAGGGAAACCCTCCTGGCATCTCTGAAGAGCGTCTCCCGTGCCCAGCGCGCGGCCAAGGTCTGGTTCGAGGTGCAACATCCTGGGATTTCAGAGTTCGGGATACCAAATGCATGATGTTTCGCTGGCATGTGCTTGTATGTCTCTGTGCCTGAATATGTGTATGATTGTGTGTGATCTTTGTAGGTCTGCTTATTTATAATAATGTCTGCATGCCTGCTTGTTTGCAATGATTCGTGTTCCTATATCCCTCTTACCGCTACATCAACATAGGTCATAATTTACAGCCGTTGGATAGGCTGCAGTCTTGTAATATGTTTTTGTTTGCTTTTCAGTGCTGTCCGTGAGTTCGACAGGGGATGCCTATAACTTTATAAAGTTCTGAGACTCTTCAGATTGCGGAAGTGGGGGGGGGGGTTGGGATTCAGGAGCGGCTTTGCATGCAGGCCGATGTCGGTGATGACTTCAGGGGTCGTGTAGCATCATGTTTGTCCAGACTCCTCATGCGAAATACAGCTCTGGAGCCCCATCTCTCGCTGCAACCCTGAAGGACCACCCCGGCAAATGCACGGCGCTGGAGGAGCGACAGAATCAAGATGGAGCCCAGGTGTTAGGGTTCTCTTGGGGGCGTCGCGTCGCGCGTGACACCGCTCTTGTGATACTCTGATACGGGTAGTTGTACAGGGCATACAGCATCATGACTATGGCTATCATCCTTGATCTATATGACCAGGCTACGTCCACCTCTTACAATATCGCACGCACAGGTCAGCGCCAGCCCCCTTCGATGTACGTTCGCCTGTTATTACAATCATAGCATCTTGCTGTTCCACCTTTCGGCAGTCAGTCTTTCATGCCAGATCCGCTCAAGAAGAGATTCAACTTGTCTGCTTCCTCGGAGGATGCTTTAGAAGACTTCGCGCCGGAGGCCCTTCTCACCAGCAACGAGGCGCTTCGAAGGTTCACAATGCAAGTTCACAGCACCCAGAGTGGCAGGAGAACGCTGGCACATCAATCAAGAGTTATACTCAGAGTATACTCAACTAATATGGTTGAGCCCCAAGTAACAGGCATAGTCATCCTCGTCCGAGGAATGTTGGGTAGGAGTACCCATTTCCTCACTCAGACTACACATTTCCTCGCTCTCGACTCGAGGGGCCTTGGGTGAGCAAAGATCCCTTGGCACTATTTGGGTCTCTATAATGGCGACTACTAGGGACGCTTCTATTCAGAGCCCACGAATTTGGGGCGGTTTCTCAGCTGAAATCTCTAGCAAAAGACACCAGATGCCGCCTGAAGCACAGACGAAGATTAGGCTTGCGCAGCCGCCGTGCGCTACGAGAAGCTCACCGGCACACCGACCATCTTTGCGTGCTGCTTGTTTGAAACTGCTCGAGCTGATGGTACGGTATGTCTCCATACCCAGGGCACCACAAAAAGGCATCTGCATAGCGCCGAACTTCGAGTCTGCGTTATGTATACATGTTTTTATGACTGATAAATAACATGTGAATGTACATATGTATATATATATATATGTATATCAAATATAAATAAATAAATAAATAAATATATATATATATATATAATATGTATATACATGTACAGGGTTCGCTGATGAGCCGGGCTCGTGAAGAGCCTTTGTTATTGTTGAGTTAGCGGCCTGCAAACCTCGCCTGACCCTGTCGAGCGCGAGTTCTAAGAATACATATACATACATATGTATATATCTATACACACACACGCATACATAAACGGGTAGTATTACATACTTCGTCCTACTCTTTGCAGACATTGGACTGCATGGCCGAACCTCGCGAAGCTTGAAACGTACAGTTCCTGTTGCAGCATCGGAAAAGCTAATGCCTTGTGGCTACATAGGTGCTGCGACTGCAAAAATCATATTGGTGACTGGGAATACTAAGAGTACTATGAAGACGCTGTGAGTGAAAAGTCCTCCTCCTGCTGCTGCCACAATCGTCTCTGGCTCTACCCTTGCCACCAATGGTTTTCGTGTTGTTATTGTTACTACTTCTTGTAGTGTTCGTAGTAGTAGTAGTAGTAGTAGTAGTAGTAGCAGTAGTACTGCTGCTGCTGCTGCTGCTGCTGCTGCTGCTCTACTACTACTGCTGTTATCGCAGCTGCGGAATCCATTATCTCAGCCATCGACACGATCGGCCTATCCGTATGTTCTAACGTGATTGTCAGCAGGAGCTGTATTCAAGAAACAGCTGTCGGGGATGGGGTGTCCGAGTGTCGGCGCCAACATCGTGCGGAGGCTTCTTCCGTGCGATGATGGAATTCCAGTCGAGCATGCTACAGATGCAGCCGCCGCGCCGGGAGCCAAGCTGATCGGGCGAGCAACGGATGTGTGCGGGCAGTGGGGCAGTGTGGGGCTTAGTTAGGCTTTTGACTTTGCAGGTTGGGTTTTTACTAGCATCTGCAGCGTCCACAGTTGTCAATCTCGCCGCTAACAGGTCCTGCATTTCTCGCTGCCAGCGGGCTGCTTGATGAGGCCGACGCTCCTGGCACTTGAATCACTGGCTTTATTGGGATGCCTCGGTTTTCTGACGAAGTCTATGAGCGTTACCAGCAAGAAGGCTTTACTCATCGGTCCGATTTGACAGACCGCAAGGCCTTTTTCCGTAAGCAAAGGTTGCTTCTTCGAAGAACGAGGCCGCTGGAGAAGTCGGTCTTGGTTTTAAATTATAGCAGAGTCATGCAGAGTCTATAAATATTTAGTGTTTTATAGTATATGAGAGTCGGTGATTGTATATTATAGTCCATTGCATTACGATGTATCATGGTGCGATAGCTGTGTCAACTGTTGGACGCCAGCTGCATGAGGAGGCTTCGCTGACGGAGGCCGACAGCTGCCTCGTCCAGACAGGCCCCTGGTTCTTGGAGGACTCGGGCTCCGGGCTCGCAGTAACGGTATATTCTAATATGTCATACCACGATTGTATGATCTCGTACTCCAATAATCTATCATATAAAAAAACTGTAATCACGTGAGAAGAGCCTACTCAACGGAGCCCTTGCACCTGGGCTCCCAAGATAGAAAACGCTGTGTGTGGCTTCTGCCGCCGCAGGATCAGCCGACTCAAAAAGAGCTCGCTGAAGGCCGGTCCATGCGATTCAGTCAGTTTGCGTGAAGAGTCGCATATGCAAGTGGCACATGCCCAGGTTTCCAAAGCCGAAAGAACTGGCACGGTGCTAGACGCCAGGTCTTTTAACTCAAGCACAGGCAAGACCACACCAACATCTGCACACACATGTGTGAAACTCCATGAATATAGCTTGGTTGAATTGGCCTTCTAATTCACCAGCAGCCATTCCTAGAAAGCAGAGCTATACACTAGCCGCCCTTATCGGCCCTTGTCCCAAGTACAAGCCCTAATCCATAATTAACCCTGGATCGTAGAAACCTCAAGCCCCTACCCCAAAGCTCTTGCCACCCCTCTGGCCACCTCGAAGGAGACCTGGCACGGCTGCGCAGTTTTCTTGATGCAGGGAGTGCCCCGGTAGCCGCTGCTCGTTCGAAGAATGAACTCTGCAGAACAGCAATCAAGAATAACCGAAAAACAACTTAATAGCGAGTCTCACAATTCTATAGGGGGCAGATTCTGGGGTAGAAGGTGCAAAAAAAAGGTGCAACAGCAATAGAAATTGGAACTTGCGCGTGCCGCCCTCACACCACCAACACAACAGCATCTGTAACAGAAATAGCAGCAGTAAAGCGCAGAGAACAACGGACACAACAATCGATTGCTCCCACGCCACAAAGGTCTGCTGGGGGTCCATGATTCCTGAGGGCATGGAGCCGCTCCGCTTGATTTCATATAGGGGCCTAAATAAGTACCTACACTATTGTGAGGGTTCCTTATGAAAGTCATAGTATAGTGAACCCCAAAAGTGAGGGTTCCTTCTTAAAATTATAGTAGTATGGGCCCCAAAACCCTATTCTAATTAGTAAGGCCCCTACATCAGTGCCAAGAACCCTCAAGTCTTGATCTCCCAAAACCGATGAACACGGCCGTGCCGCACGAGACCATGCGGCGAACCTCGGAAACTCGATGTTTAGGGTTTATAGGGTACCCTAAACCCTAAACCCTAAACTTTTGGTTCCACGTAGCAGAATGGCTCGGGTCTGTAGACTGCAGCCCGCTCACCCAACAAGTCAGACCCCATAAGCCCTGAGCCTGCGAGGGTCGTTCGACCTACTAACGGACTGGGCTCCGGCGTTCCTCATCGTGCTGTCCGCTCGGCTCTGATCAAATGGCAGGAATTAAGAACACATGACTCAAGAGGAGGGTGGTTGCGACGCCATCATGCCGCAACCCTGCCTATCGGAGTTTGGCCGAGAGAACCCAGCCATACGATTTGTGCCCTGTCCACAACACATTTAACTGCTTAAGCAGTTCCGGGTCTAGGCTCGCAAGTGCGATGCCAACACGGGTGAGAATCCAACATGTCGGCTGTGTAAGTCTAAGGTTCACGGCTAATTGCGAGTATTGCTTCAAGTACACCCACTCCAGTAATTGTGGTGCCCTTGTGATCACCGTCTCGCGGTACATAAAGCGTGAGATAAAGGAGACTCGACCCCGCAACAAGCTATCAGGCGCCTCAGCAACATAGTTCGTCAAAATTACTGTAGCAGAAATATACACCCAACAGCCCCAACACACTCACACCACGCAGCCTTAGACTCTGTTTCCGTTTCGCCATGAAGCGGAAGCCCCCGAATGGCAGCGTGGCCCAGACAGCTGTAAACACGGCACTGCGGATATTGCCCTTGCTGCCTGGCTTCCATTCCATAGGATACTGTAGCATACCCTAAGATACTTAGTAGTATTTGTGCTATATTGCGCAAAATGCACTATGAACTGCTGGACGAAGACTATCATATCACAGTGTATGTAAAAAGCCCCTAAAGTCAATAAGCGCTACTCGTAAGCTGTATCGGTGTACCTGTTGCCGCCTTTCGCATGCAAGCTACCATGTAGTCCTGCAAGCCCAGAGTCTCCCCCCTTAGACACTCTTTCTGCCCTGGTCTTACATACTTAGCTACCAGTCTACATTGGCTGTAACATAACGGGTTCCCCACCAGACCCAGGGTGCTGTAATCTGAGTTCAACCGAAGCTCCAGGGTTCCACATGGCAGTGATACAGCTCTCGCAATGAAATGCGTACAGTCGCAACAACCGAATTTGTTTGCTCAGAGATGGAGGAATGCAAGGGCTGGTTCGTTTCCGGCACGCATGTGCATATTTGCAAATGTTCTGCTCCGAGGTCCTGCTCTACTGGGTAGTTGGTTTCTTTCTTCGTAGACGAGTTTGCTCTGTGCTAGGTGTGTTTGGGTGGGGTGTCACCAAGGTTCATACTGCCGCTGCTGATCGCTATCCTCCAGCCAGACACACGCCGCAATCCAGCTTCAGGGTTCCACGCTCATTAGAAACTCCGTGAAGCTGCAGAATTCGTCCCACCCTGCTCGCGAAGTTTATGATGTTTAAGCGATGTTACCCCGAAGGGATTCTGTAATGATTTGGCCGTGGCCGCTCTTTCGGAGACCTGTTCTTCGGTCCTATGTCCGTGGCGCCATGCAGCAACAGACTAAGCAACCTTGGTAACCTGCTGTCTGCATCTGTGCCCGCGCAAATTCCGACTTACGACAAACGGCAAATCTCCTATCGACCTGTCTCGAGATAACAGGGCTTCGTTGGCTTTGGGCCCAGAAGACAACTCATACACCTGGTACAGTACGAAGGAATGGATATTGATCCACTGTCCAACTACTGCTGCCATTACCTCCACTACGACGACGACTAGATAGCACCACCTCCTGCGAAGTAACCACCACCACCACCACCACCACCGCCACCATGATGACGATGACAATGACGACGACGTCAATGAGTACCTTGTTCCTGCGCACAGCACGTAAGACGACATTGCTCAGCTTAGTCCGTGAATTACAGTCGAAACCTTTCCCCCTGCTAGGAAGGAAATGGCGGCGCCAGCGACTGGAAGCTCCTGGTTTCAAGCTGGAGATTTCACATCTTAATAGAACTGACGTGTTAAAGATATTTGCTTCATTTATGAATATAGTAGAACTACTCCGCAGGTTCTAACAGGAAGGTTGAAGCGGAAGGACTTGGGATGAAAGTAGCAGAAGCGAGGGACAGGGAAGGAGGAGGAAGATACAGAGCGTATACATACATACATACATACATACATACATACATACATACATACGTACATACATACATACATACATACATACATATATATATATATATGTATGGAGTATACGTACATGTGTATATATACACTGTGCATGTACATATGCACTCTGTAGACATACGCACATGCACACATACATACATGCATATATACATACCTGCCTACGTGCTCATGAATTGCATAACACACTGTTACATGTATGTATATATATATATGTTTGTATACGTATCACATTAATCGTTGTCCCGCCCTCTTTCTCTCTTTCTCTTCGTCTCACGCTCGTTCTGTTTTTATCTCTCTGTCTCTCCCTCTCTCTCTCTCTGTCTTCCTATGTTTCTCTCTGAATGATGCAGGTCTTCAGGCACAGTTCGCATAACATGTCGTTCAGTTCACCAGTCGTCTTGAAGTCTTGTTTGCCCTACACGAGACAGCCCATTTCCCGACACCAGCCTTTCTTGACCAGACCGAAAGCGGAAGGGGCTGGGCAGGGCAGAAGCAGTCACGACCCAACACTGGCAAGAACAAACCGTCAGAGCACAAATTCAGAAACAGCAACATCAACACTGGCTGCAACGCCAGTTCTTGGAACTACAATGCCCAGACTGGACAAACAACGGCCAGAATGAACAATGCAAAGATGGCAAGAGATGACGAAACAAAAGACACATGCTAGTACCAAGGAGAACAGTTCCCATCACTGGACAGGGCCTCTCCGACAAGCATGTTTCATGTTAATGTCATATTAATCGGAAGTTCCAGAACTCATGGCAGACGGAATCTCTTCGATGCATGAACCATGCGCCCGTCTTCAAGGATGGTGCTTATCGGCGCTGCATGCGGGGCCGTGATTTCCGCCGCGGTGCCGACCCTTGGGCACTTTCAACATATTAGGGCATGGCCCAGCTCGATCTCTAGTGAGTTTCGCTGCACCAACAGGGAGTATGAGCCCGCGAAGAAGCCAAGCTAGTGACGACGAACAAGTTTCGAAAGCCATCCCCTTAAGAGTGCTGCAGCAGCATCCTGAGGCTATGTGAGCTTTAGGTCAGCATTGCTTGAGAAGTTCAGATGCATCACATATGTACATGACGAACGGAGCAATACGATGCATACTGAAGTCGTCGAAGTATCTTTTCGACCTTCAAGGGGTTCAAGCTACAAATGCCTATGCACCTCGTGAGTGTACTGATTTTGAGGAGCGTCCGATTCGCAATACTGACTGTGGCCATCGTCACCGGCCTGCTGCTGAGTGTGGCGTACATGCACCTTGCATCAACTTGCTTGGAGCCCCCTGGGCACGGTGATCGGGCCAGGGTGAAAGGGTTCTTTATGAAATCTGATGGAAAGATGCCACTCCTCCTGACGATGCCAAGCCCTGCAACCCCACAGACTAGCCTGCATTGCGCTTCACTGTAGCCGCTGTTCAAGGCAGGTGCTGCAGTCCAGCAACGAGTTGCCAGAGCCGCATGTGCTTGCGCAGCTGCATGCTCAGAGGCACAGATTTGTTCAGGGCGTCACTTAGACCCATGCAGTCAGGCTTTGGTCAGAGGCTTGCTACCTCATGTCATGTGAGACTCCAGGGGCTGGAGTCTCACAAGCAGAAGGTCTTTCAGGATCGCAGCCGCAGGGGCTGAGTAGGACCTGGACGAACAATTCTTTATTGTGGGGGCTCTGCTGCCCTCGGTTCAGAGCGCACCCTGCGCTCTTTCAGGCTTTGAAGTTTCGGAGGAGGTCTTCCTAGATGGGACCACAGCACTTCGAGGTTCTGTACACTTGAATGCACCTGTGATTCGAAAAAAACATCCGCAGCAGCAGAGGCAGAGACCCATGAGGTATGAGTGCTCGTTCGACTTACGACTTTAGGAACTCTACGTCCTTTAGCTGCGTTTTGCTGTGGCACTTCCTGTGGCATCTGGACAAAGATGAACTAAGACCGCATATTAATCTCAAAAGCTGCATCCGACCAACGGCACTGCAAGTATGACTATAGATAGATATATATATATATATATGTATATATAATTGTATATATATATATATATATGTAAGAGTTGTTTTTCATTCATTTTTCCCCCATGCCCGAAACCCCGCGGAGGCGGCGTGAGCGTGCAGCGGCTGTTGCACCACCGGCCGCAAGCAGTAATCGTCGATCCGCGGCAGAACAGGCCATTTGCGGGTTTGGAATCGGTTGCCTTCCCGGGCTCACGAGCACCAGACCAAGCGGCAGCAACAACTGAGCAGGCGGTCAGTCTCCTCACAGTCTTTCGGTCTAAGAACTGATGCGTGGCTCCATCACAATTTTAAAAAATATAATTGCCATTCATTGCCCCTTTCAAGGTGGGAGGGCTGTGGCAGCAGCTCATCTCATAGACGCCAAGCGAGGGACGCATGTTGCTCATGGACAGAGATCAGGGCTCCTAGGCCTAGATGATTCGAGGGTCTGAACCATCTGTCACTGCAGAATGCTGCAGACCCTGTGATGGTGTAGTGATCACACTATGTACCGTAGTTATCCTCAGGTTCTTGCATTTTGATATACAGCATCCCAGCCGTTGGCGGGCACATACTATCCCGGCCCAGTT